AATGCTGAAGATCCCTACCATTCTCCCACTCCATCATAATTCCATTTGGGAGGCTTCGGTTAGGATTTACGCAAGGGAACAAGACAATGGACAGACTAAGCTATTTTCTCCTTTACACACGCCCAGTCTGCACCCAGCCATGTCAATATTAAGCAAATCCAAATAAGCATTGTGTTTCAGATTTGTGTAATGGGTTTCAGAGTTGCATTTCTACTGTGCATGGAGGAGTCAATCTGTCTTATGAATGCTCACACTTTATTATTTGGAATTGTATGGAAGCAACACTGTAAGGTGGAAGGGTGGAGGAGTCTTAGATAACAAGGTGTAGAGCTGGATGAACACAGTAGGCCAAGCAGCATCAGAGGAGCAGGAAAGCTGACGTTTCAGGCCTAGACCCTTCTTCAGAAATGGGGGAGGGGAAGGGGGTTCTGAAATAAATAGGGAGAGAGGGGGAGGCGGATAGAAGATGGATAGAGGAGAAGATAGGTGGAGACGAGACAGACAGGTCAAAGAGGCAGGGGTGGAGCCAGTAAAGGTGAGTGTAGGTGGGGAGTTAGGGAGGGGATAGGTCAAGGGGGCGGGATGAGGTTAAAAGGTAGGAGATGGGGGTGGGGCTTGAGGTGGAAGGAGGGGATAGGTGGAAGGAAGGACAGGTTAGGGAAGCGGGAACAAGCTGGGCTGGTTTTGGGATGCAGTTGGGGAGGGGAGATTTTGAAGCTTGTGAAGTCCACATTGATACCATTGAGCTGCAGGGTTCCCAAGCGGAATAGGAGGTGCTGTTCCTGCAACCTTCGGGTGGCATCATTGTGGCACTGCAGGAGGCCCAGGATGGACGTGTCATCTGAGGAATGGGAGGGGGAGTTGAAATGGTTCGCGACTGGGAGGTGCAGTTGTTTATGCGAACCGAGCGTAGGTGTTCCGCAAAGTGGTCCCCAAGCCTCCGCTCGAGGAGCTTGAACAGTTCATCCACTTCACCAACACCTTCCACCTTAAGTTCACCTGGACCATCTCTGATACCTCTCTCTCCTTCCCGGACCTCTCTGTTTCCATCTCTGTCAACCACCCAGAAACCGATATCCATTTCAAGCCCACTGACTCCCACAGCTACCTAAAATACACCTCCTCCCACCCACCTTCCTGCAAAAATGCCATCCCCTATGCCCAATTCCTTCACCTCCGCCACATCTGCTCCCAGGATGAGACATTCCACTGCTGAACATCTCAGACGTCCTCGTTTTTCAAGGACCACAACATCCCCCCCTCAGTGGCGAGAACACCCTCGACCATGTCTCCCGCATTTCCCGCAACTCATCCCTCACACCCCCTCCCCGCAATAACAACCAAAACAGAATCCCTCTCGTCCTCACATACCACTCCACCAACCTCCGGATCCAACGCATCATCCTCTGACACTTCCGCCATCTGCAATCCGACCCCACCACCAAAGACATTTTTCCCTCCCCACCTTTATCTGCTTTCCAGAGGGACCACTCTCTCCACGACTCCCTTGTCCGCTCCACACTCCCCTCTAGCCCCAACATACTCGGCACTTTTACCTGCAACCACAGGAAGTGCTACACCTGCCCCTACACCTCCCCCTCACCCCCATCCCAGGCCCAAGAAGACTTTCCACATCAAGCAGATGTTCACCTGCACATCTGCCAATGTGGTATACTGTATCTGCTGTTCCCGTTGTGGCCTCCTCTACATCAGGGAAACCAAGCGGAGGCTTGGGGACCACTTTGCGGAACATCTACGCTCGGTTCGCACTAAACAACTGCACCTCCCAGTCGCAAACCATTTCAACTCCCCCTCCCATTCCTCAGATGACACGTCCATCCTGGGCCTCCTGCAGTGCCACAATGATGCCACCCGAAGGTTGCAGGAACAGCACCTCCTATTCCGCTTGGGAACCCTGCAGCTCAATGGTATCAATGTGGACTTCACAAGCTTCAAAATCTCCCCTCCCCAACCAGCCCAGCATGTTCCCGCCTCCCTAACCTGTCCTTCCTTCCACCTATCCCCTCCTTCCACCTCAAGCCCCACCCCCATCTCCTACCTACTAGCCTCATCCCGCCCCCTTGACCTGTCCATCCTCCCTCGACTGACCTATCTCCTCCCTAACTCCCCACCTACACTCACCTTTACTGACTCTATCCTCGCCTCTTTGACCTGTCTGTCTCCTCTCCACCTATCTTCTTCTCCTCTATCCATCTTCTATCCGCCTCCCCCTCTCTCCCTATTTATTTCAGAACCCCCTTCCCCTCCCCCATTTCTGAAGAAGGGTCTAGGCCCAAAATGTCAGCTTTCCTGCTCCTCTGATGCTGCTTGGCCTGCTGTTTTCATGCAGCTCTACACCTTGGTATCTCAGATTCTCCAGCATCTGCAGTTCCTACTATCTCTCTAACACAGGTAACCTTCGTGACAGAGCAGCCAGCCTGCTGGGTTGGAGGGTGCTGGGGGTGGTGGTAGTTTCGATCTGCCCAAATATGGGGATGATCAGGGCACAGTTATAGGGTGAGGGTGGTGGCCTGTAACAGCCATACCTGTGCCCTTGCTTTTGACCCCACTCTACCCACCAGGGGTACCCACCAATGATCCTCCCAATACTTATGTACCAGGCCAGCTGCTCCAAGACATTCCTGTGCCACCAGCACCGTGGATCGGAGTGGCTGCCAATCTTTTAGTCAGCAGCTTCCAGGAAGGTGGGACACCGTTGCCTCAGGAAGGTCCCAGTGGGTGATCATGTACGTGCCTGACAGACCCATAATCTGATGGGCTTTCCTGTTTGTGGTCATGGCAGATATCCCACGGGTTTTTGCACCCACCACCATAATTAAAAGAAAAAGTGAAACATACTGCTATTAACCAATCTGATCTATTTCCTCTTAGTCTTCACTCATTCCCTACTCCAAATAATTAGCACTTTTTCTTTAAATGCATGTTACAATCTTATCTGCCTTGACTATATTCTATAGCAAAGCATTCCTGGTTCAAAACATTCACTTTATTCACTGTGATTATTTTCAATCGCTTGCTCTTCATCAGACTCATAACTCATCAGCCAAAGCAGTAAAAATAAGCCTTTATATTTCAAAACTCTGCATAACTTTAAAACTCTCTCTTCCCAACTACAGTAGTTTTTGGGGGAGTGTTCTTTAGCGAAAATGTGAGGACATTGAAATGAGTACAGAAAAGAATCCAGGGATGGCACCAGGAATGTGGAACTTCAGTAATGAAGCAAGTTTTTTTTTTTTTTATTTAACCTATTTTTCGAATCAACCTGTTCAGAGGTGTTATTACATACACCTGGAGCAGGTGGGATTTGTATCCAGTCTCACGCTCTGGGGTAAGGACTCTACCTCTGCACCCTAAGAGCTCATTTTAAATTTCACCAGCTGCTATATATGGCACAGCAAAGATCCATTTCAAAAACTTCTCCAACTTAAGCAACAACCATTTCCCGTTATTCTACTTCCTGTTCATTTACCAGTGCTGCGCGCTATACTTCTTCATTTGCTTTATTACATCTGATTGTAAAATCTTACAAAGATCAGGACATAACAAAACATTCTGTAATATGGCAGTCCTGATTATCATAGAACATAGAACCCTGCAGCCCAATGGTATCAATGTGGACTTCACAAGCTTCAAAATCTCCCCTCCCCCTACCGCATCCCAAAACCAGCCCAGCATGTCCCCACCTCCCTCACCTGTCCTTCCTCCCACCTATCCCCTCCTTCCACCTCAAGCCCCACCCCCATCTCCTACCTACTAGCCTCATCCCGCCCCCTTGATCTGTCCATCCTCCCTGGACTGACCTATCCCCTCCCTAACTCCCCACCTACACTCACCTTTACTGGCTCCACTCCCGCCTCTTTGACCTGTCTGTCTCCTCTCCACCTATCTTCTCCTCTATCCATCTTCTACCCGCCTCCCCCTCTCTCCCTATTTATTTCAGAACCCCCTTCCCCTCCCCCATTTCTGAAGAAGGGTCTAGGCCTGAAACGTCAGTTTTCCTGCTCCTCTGATGCTGCTTGGCCTGCTGTTTTCATCCAGCTCTGCACCTTGTTATCTCAGGTTACCTGTGTTCTTGCCTACAGGAAATGGAGTTAATAACACCGGTTGTTTGAAGCTGCCCATAAGAGGTCATTAATTGACCACTTAATGGTCTCAACTGGTTCACTCCTCCATCTTAACTCCTGTGTTGGTAGAAAGGTGGTAGGTATCTCCCAACAATCACCAATTCAATTATCATCCTTTCACACCACTTTTTCACTGCGCCTCAAGATGGGAAGATTTCCCTTCTCAACAGAGTCAATAATTGCCCTTAAAGTTTTGGCAAAGATCTGTAGCTCAGGTTGTGGGTGAGTTTGTTGACTTGCTCGCCGAGCTGGCTTGTTCTTGTTTCGATGTTTCATCACCACACTAGGTGACATCATCAGTGGAGCGTCTGATGAAGCGATGTTATTCTACTCCGCTTGGAATTTATACTGTCCGGTCCGTTATAGTAAGTATTGTCATTTCCGGTTTTGATCTATATGGGTTTGTAAATGGGGTCCAATTCTTTTTGTTTGTTGATTGAAGGATGGGTGGAGAACCATGCCTCTAGGAATTCCCGTGCGTGTCTATTTTTGGCTTGGGCTACTATGGTTACTTTTTCCCAGTTAAATTGATGGCCTTCATTGTCTGAATGTACTGATATTAAGGAGAGTTCATCATGTCGTTTTGCTGCTAGTTGATGTTCATGTATTCTGATGGCTATTTTCCTTCCTGTCTGTCCGATGTAATGTTTGTGGCAGTTGTTGCATGGTAACTGCCATTGTTGGGATGGCAATGTGCAAAATACCTCGTTGCCTTGAGATATAAAGAATGAAATAGCTGAAATGATTTAATCACACTGTAGATAATATTACTAATAATGGGTCTCTGGAAAGTAATTCCAGTATGATGCACTTAATTGTTATAACCTCCTGTTTGTTTTTCTACTGTTTCTAAAGGTAAACCAACAACATTCTGCGAAACAATGGGCAAGGCTGAAATTTGGCTGATTCGGACGTATTGGGATTTTGACTTTCCCCGCCCACTTCTGCCCAACTTTGTGTTTGTCGGAGGGCTTCACTGTCGACCAGCAAAGCCACTGTCTCAGGTAAGACTGAGGAATCAATAGAGTCTGCTGTTTACCATCACGCCAAAACCAAAACCAAAACCACAGCAACCAATTAAAGGGTGCAGAACAATGTGGTGATTTCATAAGGTGCAATTGGGTACTGATTACCCAGCATTCTGTCAAGAATGTGTAACTTCATCCAGTTATGGTTTAAACAGAGTGCACGACTCATATTATTCAGGAAATGTACATTTTAGAAAGACAATGTTTTCATTGAGGGCTTTCATTTCTCTTTTAACAGCATTCTTGAATCGGAAGTGTAGACGCTCTGTTGTCTTTCAACTTTGGTAAACTCTGTTTTTGCATATCCTGAGGGATGCAGTCAACCTGTGCACATGCCCAAGGCAGTGAAGCTTTCTTTATTTGAATTAACTCTAGCAAGTTTGGCATATTTGACAAGAACAAAAATGTTGACTGTGCAACTGGTGACACCAGCTGTGGGCAAGAATTTTCCACCATGCCAATACGTTCCAAACATCCAAAGCAGATACAAATCCTGTAAACAAGATGTCAGCAGAGTCATCCTGCACCCCGAGGGAAGCTTCACTTGAAGCAGATGTTGCGTTTCCGAGATTGGCCTGTCCAGCCATCTGAAGAAATGCAGCAATGATCTTATCTGAACTCTGTAAAGTTCTGAGGCTGCTTCCCATCATCTCTCACAGATGGATGGATGCCAATTAATTCTTCATTGAGAAGAGCATTTGGGAATTTTTTTTAATATGGCTGGGTTCAGACTGTCACGTTCTGGTTATAGTAAAAATAAAGGGTCATTTTTGTACAATTCCTTTCTTAACTGAGGATACTGAGAAACACTTCATAATTAGGTATGTTTGAAGTGAACATGTAGCTAGTTTTCATTTTTTGAGGATCTATTCGGTCTTGAGTTCAACTTGAGTTGGGTTAACAACCTGCTGTATTTGCTAAATACAGTGGTCTTTGACCACTCTAATTCTCACTGTACATACTATAGCCAAATTATTTCACATTCATCTCCCCCACACCACAAACTTTCCTTTCCAATGTGGCTCAGATTAGAAACTGTTCAGTATTGATGTTTAGCCTGTACTGCATGACTTTGCCATCAATACTATTCGAATGTTCTATGGAGTCTGCTTTTCCTATTAAATCAGATGCAAGTGATCCACCAAGTCTTTCAAACACTTGAACCATTGTGTTCTGATTTTAAGCAAAAGGTAAATGTTTTATGTTGTATTTTTTCATCCTTGAAACGCAGGACTCCCATCTAAGGTGTGTACGCTCTTCGTACTCTCTCCCTGAACTCAACAAAAGGAAGATGTTTCGCAAGGAGAGCAACACAGTAGTAACTCAGTTATGTCATAAGGGATCCTGATATCATAAATGCATTAACCATTGTTTCACTTCTGTTATTCTTTTTTCATGTAATCTTTTCACTTTTGGATATTTTTGTTTTGTGTGCCCATCTTGAAACAAAGATTTTGCTACAATTGAGCTATGAACTAAAATACCTTTAATATGTTTTAGTTCATGAAATGCTACATAAGAATGGTACACTTAATTTCATTTGTGCTCCATGCACATTGTGAAAATAAACCACTGCATTATCACACAGGTGGTAATTACTGGGTCAAGTGAGTAGGTCCCAGATATTACACTCAATCCTTAAAAGTCTATATATTTTTAAAGTAGACTAAAAATTATAGGACACAGGAAACAACACTTAATAGAATTTCAGCAGAGTATGCGTCATGAAAGAAAGGCTTAACGCTAGAATTAGCGCATTGACGCCATTGAGGGAAGGTAATGTTTTCAGCTCACTGCTGTGTGTCTAGGCATGGTCTTTGTCCAATCTGTGTTCTGATGAGAAATCAGAAATGTGACATCAGATGGGAAAAAACCGGCGTAGTATTTCATTGTCAGATTTTCCTCTCTTGCCTGTCTTGTGCTCATTGGGAGTTAAAATAGCTGAATCCCATTTAAAAATTGGCCACCTTCAATATAATTTGATAACCAATGCAAACACCATGCTCAATTAATTAGACAAAATGGCCTGAATTTTTGCTCCCGCATTGGGAACACGGAGTCAGTCCACCCCAGGAGAAACTCAAATGGCTGAGCTTTTGTCCTGGCTGTGGTGGGCGCATCTGGAGGCGGGTCCACTGTCTACGGAAAGAGTGTGGAATTCCGAGTGAGTAGTGGGCTGTTTAAAATCCCACCTTGGTGTTCTGGGACATGGTTCCAGTTATAATAGAAAGTCAAGCCCTTGCCCCTCATTCCCACATATGCTCCCTGAGCTCCATCCATACCAACTCACACCAGTCATGACCCCCCACTCGCCATGCCAACCTATTCATCCTTGTTCATATCTGTGATCCTTTATTGCTCTACACCAGTTTAGTTTCAATGTGTAAATTCACTCCCTTAGCTCACCCAGTATCCACCACAGGTAGACCTCGGGAACCACATCAGAATGAAGAAAAATAAAGCATCTATTATCATCTTGACTCTTAAAAAGAACGCATGGATAAAAGTTCTTTGCATACATTTAGATCCCTTGAATTTTAAAAAGAAACTTGTATTCTTAGCCTCACATGAAAGACAATTTCATATCCATTTGGAACTGTGAATCAAACCTATTGTAAAAGCAACACCCCCCACCCCCAACCCCCATGTGATACTGATCGGTTGTGGAAACAGTCAAGCAATACTAATACTTTAAGAATCGCCGTTAGGTCTATATTAGAAAACAGCTACAGAAATTGTAAACATTTATTTTTATCACTGCAGTGTTTTTTTTAACTCAACATTTAAAGATGAGAGGATTTGATTGACTGAACAGGTTGTCCCTACCACAGGTCTTGTCTATTTTTCACGTCCAGTCATGTCTGCTCTTGATAATACCATAGAAGTATCTGATCTCTGTCAGTTTCTCGTGCCATTTTGCCTCAGTCGCAGATCTTTTCTGTCTCCGTGGAAAATTTGGGGCCTAATCCCTTCTTGTTTTACAGGAATTGGAAGAATTTGTTCAGAGTTCGGGAGAGCATGGCATTGTGATCTTTTCTCTGGGCTCATTGGTTAAGAACCTTGCAGCTGAGAAAGCCAAAGTGATTGCTGAAGCACTGGGAGAAATTCCACAAAAGGTTGGCCCTCTTTGCAAACCTCTATACATGTAATTATATCTGGTTTTTCCAGATTACTTGAATATTGATGAGGATAACCTTTACCAGCCACAAAACATGAATTTAACTTGCTTTCCTACAGTCCAGCCCCAGTTTAGTATTACCTGAAAAATAGTCAGAAAAGGATTACTCAGTGACTGATCGATCTCCTCAATCACCAAGGCTGATACATTTTCCTTTACTTTGTGCAAAAGGTAATAATTTGCTTGAATCCCATCTACAGCATGTGCTAATACAATAAGACAAAAAAGAACAGGACAAGTGTTGGTGTTTGTTGTTCATCTTGAGCTCCACTTTTAAAACTTGTCAAGCTCAAGGCATGCAATTCCAGACAACAAGAGCAAATGTTACAGGCCTAATTGCTCAGCTATAGCATCATTTTAATTGAACATTTTTGCCTGCTCCATAGATACAAGGATAGTATTTTTCTCTTTTTTTTGTTTCAGAGAGATTGAGAAGGTGTAGGTTTGAACCTTAGTCAACATGCCACAGGCGAGTGGGTTTTAAGTGGTGACCCAGAACTGCATGAGCATTTTTGGCTTTCTATCAAGGCTCGCCTGTCCATTTTGCGACCATGATAATGGTGGCCACATCCTACTTTTGTTTCCAACCTCATCCTGAGGTTTTCCGAATTGAGCTTCTGGCCTGTGGCTCCATGGCAATGATTCAGTCCTTTCTGCAATTCATTCTTTTGTTGGAAATTTTTAATTAGTGAGATAAACCAAGAACTGTAGATGCTGAAAATTGATGGCAAAACTCAGCAGGTCTGGCAGCATTTGTGGTGAGAGACAGCAGAGTTAATGTTTCAAGATTATCAAACGTTAGTAAGGCTTCTTCAATCATTGAAGACAAGAGAGTGTCTTTTAGCCCATGTAATTTTAGTACTTGGTTGAAGAGCGACCAATTTAAATTGTCATTGCAAGTTATTACACATGGATTCCAACTATTTGCACCAAGTGTTTGGGAAACTTGGTCAGCATGGACGAGTTGGACCGAAGGGTCTGTTTCTGTGCTGTGTGACTCTTTAAAGCACTATTTCTCAGAATTGTTATCCATTGTTTAAAACTTTTCCTTCACGTGGTTATAATTTGAAACTTTAATTCTGAGCAAAATGAATCAAATAAGAATCAGCATTCATTTTACTAAATTGAATTACCAGTTTAAATTTTTTTACTAATTTTCATTGTTTTCAAACCAGGCTTTTTGCCTGGCGTCATTGTCCTCATGAATATCTAGTCAGACTAAACCTTTAACGTTTTCAGATTAAGTTGATCTTATCAAAAGGGATTGATTATTTAAATGAATGGGCAGTGTTAGATCACTCAACATTCCAGGGTAATCACCAGTTTTCACACACCTCCCAATATTCTTGCCTAGTTATCAGTGCAGTAACAGATATTCTTTATGTTTCAGCATTCAGCTTAGCTTGAAAGTAATCATTTAATATCATTTGTAGTTCAGTTTGGAGCTCTTCTGAGAAGCTGGAATCAGATGTAACAGTGTTACAATTGAATAACAGTAACTAGAAAGACATGAGGGAAGAACTGGTCAGAATTGATTGGAAGGGGAGCCGAGCAGGGAAGACAGTGGAGGAGCAATGGCAGGAGTTTCTGGGGGTAATTTGGGAGGCATAGTGGAAATTCATTGCAAGGAAGAAGAAACATATGTAGTGAAGATGAGGTAACCATGGCTGACAAGGGGGGTTGGGGACAGCGTAAAACCAAAAGAAAAGGCACACAATGTGCTGAAGATTAGTAGGAAGCCAAAGGATTGGGAAGCCTTTAAAAATCAGCAGAGGATAAGTAAAAAAGCAATAAATTGGGGAGAAGATGAAATATGAGGGTAAGCTAGCTAGTAATGTAAAAGAAGATTGCAAGAATTTTTTAGATATATAAAAGGTAAGAGAGAGGCAAGAGTGAACATTGAACCGCTGGAAAATGAGGCTGGAGAAATCGTAATGGTGAACAAAGATATGGTGGAAGATCTGAATAGGTATTTTGCATCAATTTTCATGGTGGAAGACACCAGCAATATAGCAGAACTTCAAAAGAGTCGAGGGCAGAGTTGAGCGTAGTGGCTGTCAATAAGGAGAAAGTGCTGGGGAAGCTGAAAGGTCTGAGGTGCATAAATCACCCAGACCAAATGGACTACACGCCATAGTTCTGAAGGAGATAGCTGAGGAGATCGTAGATGCATTGGTGGTGATCTTTCAGGAATCACTGGAATCAGGGAAGAGTCCCCAGAGGACTGAAATTGTTAATGTAACATCCCTGTTTAAGTGATGGAGGCAGAAGACAGGAAACTATAGCCCAGTTAGCCTGATCTCGGTCATTGGTAAGATTTTAGAATCCATTATTAAGGATGAGATTGCGGAGTTCTTGGGAAGTACGTGGTAAAATGGGGCTGAATCAGCACGATTTCATCAATGACATGTCATGGCTGACAAGTCTGTTAGAATCCTTTAAGAAGGTAATGAGCAAGTTAGACAAAGGAGAGTCAGTAGACGTGATATGTTTGGATTTCCAGAAGGCCTTTGACATGGTGCTGCATAGGAAGCTGCTAAATAAGATAAGAGCCCACGGTGTTAGGACAAGGTACTGACATGGATAGAGGATCGGCTGACTGGCAGAAGGCAGAGGGTAGGAATAAAGGGGTCGCTTTAGGGACGGCAGCAAGTAACTAACAGAGTTTCAAAGGGGCCTGTATTGGAACCAGAACTATTCACGTTGTACATTAATGATCCAGTTAAAAGAACTAAGGGCATTGTTGCTAAGTTTACAGATGACGTAAAGGAGGAGCAGGTAGTGTTGCGGAAGCTGAGAGGCTGCAGAAGGACTTGAACAGGGTAGGAGAGTGGAGAAAGAAGTGGCAGATGAAGTACAACCTCTGAAAGTGTGAAGTTACACACTTTGATAGAAAGATTATAGACGTAGACTATTTTCTAAATGGCTTGAGGCTTCATAAATCTGAAGGATAAAGGGTCAAGCTGCCCTTTGGATAATTATGGATGGGCAATAAATCCTGGCCTAGCCAGTGATGCCCAAATCCAGAATGAATAAGAAAAAGCTTGGGAGTCCTAGTTCACGATTCTCTTAAGGTTAACATGGAGGTACAGTTAGTAGTTAGGAAGGCAAATGGAATGTTTGCATTCTTTTCAAGAGGGCTAGAGTACAACAGCCAGGGTGTATTGTGGATGTTTTACAAGGGTCTGGTCAGACCACATTTGGAATTTTCCGAGCAGTTTTGGGCCTCCTGACTAAGGAAGGATGTACTGGCATTGGAGGAGGTCCAGAGGTGATTAACAAGAATGATCCCAGGATGAAGTGCTTGTCATATGAGGAGCTGTTGAGGACTCTAGGTTTGTAATTGAAGGAATTTAAAAGTGGGATCTCAAAATGTTGAGAAGCCTGGATAGAGTGGGCATGGAGAAATGTGGAGCTGGAAAAGCATCCGGGAGCAGGAAAGTCAATGTTCTGGGCTGAAACCCTTTGTCAGGATTTGGGGGTGTTGGGGTGGGGGATGCAGGGGGAGCCCAGAAATAGATAGAGGGAAGGTGGTGGGGCTGGGGTGAGGGTAGGTGAGGTGGAGATAGGTGGAAACAAAAACAGAAGTTGCTGGAGAAGCTCAGCTGGTCTGGCAGCATCTGTGAAGAAAAAAATCAGAGTTAACATTTCGGGTCTGGTGACCCTTCCTCAGTCGGAAGATGAACAAGCTGGGGGTGAAGAGATTTTGAAGTTGGTGAAGTCGATACTCAGGCCATTGAGCTGTAAGCTTCCAAGGCGAAATATGAGGTGTTGTTCCTCCAGTTTACATTTGGCCTCACTCTGACTGTGGAGGAGACCAAGGATGGACATGTCACCAGGGGACTGGGAGGGGGAGTTAAATTGGATGGCAACTGGAAGGTTGGGTTGGTTGACAGAGGGCAGATGCTTTGCAAACCAGTCCCCAAGTCTGCATTTGGTCCCCCCAAAATAAAGGAGACCACAATCAGGAGTGAGGAATACATTAAATGAGGTTAGATGAAGTGCTGGTGAATCTCTGCTGGATTTGAAAGGATTGTTTGGGACCTCAGACGGAGTGAGAGGGGAGGTGTAGAGGCAGATGTAGCACCTCCTGCATTTGCAGGGAAAGGTACCGGGTGTGGTAGAGGAGTTGGTGGGGAACGTGAAGCTAATGAGGGATTCACAGAGTGAACAGTCCCTGCGGAAAGCGGACAGGGATGGGGAGGCAAATATCTTTTAGGTGGTAGGGTCTGATTGTAGGTGGCAAAAATGTCAGAGGATGATGCACTCACTCACTCACTCATTCCTTGACACTCTCTTTCTCACACACACACTCACTCTTTGTCTCTCTCTGTCTCACTCACTCTCACTCACTCACTGTCTCACACACAGACACACACACTTTGACTCTCGCACGCACGCACTCACTCTCGCACGCACTCCATCACTTCCTGTACCACATGCACTTCGTCACACTCTCTCTCTCTTACACTCTCTCTTGCATGCTCACTGTCTCGCACTCACGCGCACTCACGCTCTCTCTCGCGCACACTCTGTCATGCACACTCGCACAGACACACACACTTGCGCACAGACATACTCACGCGCACACACGCACTCTCTCTCACTTTCTCTCTCTCTCTCCCACACACGCGCGCCATCTCTCCCACACACGTGTGCCCTCTCTCCCATGCGAGCCCTCTCTCTCCTCACACACACACGTGCTCTCTCTTACACACACACACACACACACACACGCACGAATTATTTCATCCAAGATGTTTGTGTAGTGACATATACATTCTGCTCATATGTCAGTAGCCTCCTTCCTAACTGATTAAAGATTCAACAAGAGGCAGCCAGTTTTAAGGATGTTACATTTCTGCTTATAAATTCTGTGTCTTAAACTCTCTCTCTCACACTACGCCTGAGGAAGGAGCTGAGCTCTGAAAGCATTTGTTTTCGAATAAACCTGTTGGACTACAACCTGATGTGTGATTTTTGACCTTGAATCAGTGCCAGTGATTGTTCTGATTGTCGACCAGTGAAGTATCATGGGAAGTTTCTGAATTAAGTCCAGGCAGTTCTGGATTGCGAATGGAGTCTGGGAAAGGGTCACTGGACCCGAAATGTTAACTCTGATTTCTCTGCACAGGTGTTGCCAGATCTGCTGAACTTTTTCAGCAATTTCTGTTTTGTTTCTGATTTGCAGCATCTGCAGTTTTTTAGGTTTTTATTGTGAACGGAGTCTGCACTGGAGTCCGTTTGCAAGTCGATTTGCATGCAAGTGGGGACACCATGCAGGGTAATGTAAAGCAACTGTTTGTAAGTGCAACATGTTCATATTTTAGGTCTTTTAAATTACACCCCCTGTAAAGGATCACATTCATAAGTATGAGCGTTCGTAAGTAAGTCTTTGTAATTCTGAGACCTGTGTTAGGATGATTCTGTCTGCAGTTTCTGTTGTTTATGCTCATAAGATACATGAGGTTATGATCAGCAGAGAATTGGAGCTATGCTGCCTTGTTTAGTTACTCAGGAAGGTTATGTTGGCCTTGGAGTGGGGTACAGTGAAGATTCGCCAGAATGTTACCAGGATTAGGAAAGTTAAATTGTTAGGTAGTTTGCATAAACTCTTATTGTGTTCTCTTGATTGAGGTTGGAGGTGTGGTGTAAGTGAGATTTTTAGACTGTAGTGGGTGTTTGATAAAGAAGATAAAAAAAAAAAGCTATGTCCTCTCGTGGAGACATCGAGAAGTAAAATGTATTATCTTAAACTTAAAGCTAGGCTATTCAAGAATGGAATCAATTCTTCAGACAGTGTTGTACAAATCTTGAATAACTTCACCCAAATGGTGTAAATTGGAGCTTTCAAGGTAGAGATTGATTGACTGTTGTTAAGTGAGGGTTCTGAAGTTATGCAGTACAGGCAGGGTAAATGGAGTTGACATACAGATCAGCTATAATGTAATTGAATGGCGGAACAAGCCTAAGAAGCTGAATGGCTTACGTCAGAGCTTTCCTGTACTCCTCCCCTTCAACCACGGTTGCAGGTAGAAAATCTATGAAAGGAATGCTGGCTGAGGAGGTGGTTTCTGAGGGCCCCTGAGGTGAAGTCATTTTTTTTTAAGAATAAAGTTTCATCAACTGTCTAAGGGTCCAGGTCCCCATCCTTGTCAGGATAACCTCACTCAGCCCCTATCATTGAGATATGCCTTTTGAAAATTGATGCACCTTTAGCTAATTCTGAGCCATCTCCTGATATAGGGCCAAGGCATGTATCTTTAATTTATGGAATTCCTGTCCTTAGTCCTACTGCCTTACACTGATAGCTTTGTAGTGGTGTTGGTAGGTCCATCCCTACATAGCCTCACAAAGACTTGTGAGCTTGTGGCATTTCTGATAGACTTCCTTGAAAGTTACAATGGGGCTGCATTGGGACAACTGTGCAATTTCCTTCTCAAATACTCAAAGACTAAGCACCATGTTGCATTCAGCTTGTCTATTTATTCCCAATGTTGTTATCCCTCAGGTTCTTTGGAGCTATGCTGGTGAACAACCAAAGACGCTGGCATCGAACACAAAGTTGTATAAATGGCTGCCTCAAAATGACCTACTTGGTAAAAGCTGAATTCTCATTTTCTCACCAATCCTATTTTAAACCTTGTGCATTTGGGTCTGTATTGGTTAATTGCTGTCTGGCTCCTTATCTGCACAGTCATTTTGCATGTGTGTGTAGATATTAAATATCCTCAGGCTTTTTGGCATCACAGCTGAGCCTGATCATTTTCTTATCCAAACTCTCCAATGGGCACACTTTCAGGATGAGGTGGAGGTGCTGGTGTTGGACTGGTGTAGTCAAAGTCAGAAGTCACACGACACCGGGTTATGGTCCGACAGGTTTATTTGAAATGGCAAGTTTATGGAGCACTGCTCCTTCATCAGGTGAAGGCTTCCAACTTTCAGGATGAGGTCACTAGACAGTGATCACAAGTAGAGTTTCTAGTTAATTTTCTAATCCCTAAATTCTAGGGATGCTAAGCTCTGTTGTAATGCTCTACTGTTACCAAGATCAATATAATTAATTCAACACAGTCAAACTGAACCTTGGGCTATGTGTTCATTTATTCATTTGATAGACTTTTATCTTCAAAGCTATGGATTCTGTGGCATTTTGTAATGAATTTGATAAGGTACAGTTTAAAATAGCAATCAGCCTCTTAGTGAATGCCCTGTTTTTAGCTTGATTCCCAAATTATTGAAATAGTTTAATCAATTTTCAGCTTTTGCTTTTCTAACTGGAACATGAAGCTGTCGTGACATTCTTCAACATTACATTGTCTTGCAATTATAAATATTGTTTCAGCATTGCAAAATAAATAGAAACAGATGTGCAGAAGTCTTTTTAACAATCATCTGTTTTAAAACAGATCGCAGGGTCAAGTTTTAAAAGGAGACAAAGTTGACGCTCTATTGCATTAAAAAAAAATTGCACGTATTAACTTGTACCTTTCACAACCTTCGAGCATTAAATGTATTTTACAATCAATTCAAATGTTTACAAGTGTACTTTCCATGTAGGAAACGAGCTAACCAGTTTGCACACAGCTCAGTCCCACAAACACCTCTAAGGTAAAAACTAAGTAATCTGTTTCAGTGATGTCAATTGAGGAGTATATTAGCAGGGGCAATTGAGCAAACTTGCTGCTGTTTTTTGATTGGTGGAACATGATACGTTATCCAACTGGAAAGGTAGCTGGTGTCTTTGGTTTAATATATTAAAGAGCCCCAGTAGAGCAGCATTCCCTTAGAATTGCACTGGAGTGCCATGCAAGATTTGGTGCTCAGGTCTCTGAGGCTTGAACTCCGAATCTTCTGACTCAAATATGAGTGCTGCCACTTAGCCTAGCTGACAGTGCAAATTTCATCGTATTTTAATACACCGTATCTCCTGAAATTTTATCATACGTCAAAGTTTAATTATAATGAAGGTTCAGCTGATTTTATTTTCTGCAAATATAATTGCAGGACATCCCAAGACCAGAGTATTTATCACCCATGGTGGTACAAATAGTATATACGAAGCTATTTACCATGGGGTGCCTATGATCGGAATTCCACTGTTTGCTGATCAACCTGATAGTATGGCTCACATGAAGACAAAGGGAGCTGCTGTGGTTCTCAATTTTGATACATTGAATAAACAGGATTTAGTTAATGCCATCAACACGGTGATCAACGATACAAGGTAAGGTAATAATGTTCAAAGAATGCACAACTGAACCATGGGTTCACAACTGAATCTTAACTTCTAGAAATGGGTGGGTGAGATTCATGCAAAAGATTAAAGAGTAAAAAATCTTGAACAGGATGTGAACATACTTTGAACCAGTGCAAGTCTGATTATTTAGGAAGAAAGGAGCGTACCCTAAATCTGGCAGGAGGCAAGTTATCAATGAAGTATTACGATGAGGCTGCGTGCCTTAATTCTTGAGTCATTTTACTTTTAACCATAGGAAGCCAGGTTTCCCAGGCTTTGGGAAATTCAGTGCAGGACAAAAAGGGCTGAACCCATGTGTTAATTGACCTTATAGCACTGCTTGTGGGCCAAGAGGAATAGGAGGGTTTTCACCAAGCTTAATAAGCTAGCGTGTAAACTACCTCCCATTGTGTGATCTATTTGCTTGCCTCAGCTGACCACGATCTGATTGACCCTCTTGATCACCATTTCCTGCCAGTTGGGATCCCTGAAGTAGAAAGCGGGCAACCTGTCGCCCTAAGATTCCAATCTCCCAGTCACCATATGTACCTTCTAGGCAAACTGTTCCCTGCAACCATTCAACAAAGACTCTACTGGGCCACCAACCAACCCAGATCTCATAATGTAGACTGTGACCTTGACATGTTTTCCCCTGCCACCAAACAGCCACTGGTCAGATTCCCTCATGATCTGGTCTCTCCCCATAATTTGTCTCACTCCCACAAAATTGTTTATATTTACAGATTTTCTTAGCAGGAGCATCAAACAACTAATATTCTAACAAGTATAAACCAAAAAAAAACTCAAAATGGAAGCTTTAGCAGAGATTTTGCTTGTAATAAATGGTTTTTTGAGAGCAAGTAGGGACTGTAAAGTACTCACATCGCCAGTTGCCTGACATACTGTTAACAACCCTCCTGCCTTTAAGTCGGAATGTTAAACTGTGTGCAGGAAACCCATTTGGGGAAGTCGGTTCTTGTTTTAATAATGTTCTTAGCTTACTAATAACTATATTAACATGGGGTTTGGTTTTTACCTTTCATAGCATGTGGGAGCATCACAGGCACTGCAAGTGTTTTGTTGCTTATCCCTAATAGCTATTGAACAGAGTGACTCGCTAGATTAAGAGTCTACCACATTTCTGTAGGTTTGGAGACATATTTAGGCCAGACAAAGTGAGGACAGCAGATTTCCTTCCTTTAAAGGGCATCAGAGAACCAGATTTTTTAAAAATTCATACATGGAATGTGGGTATCACTGGTTGGACCAACATGTATTGCCCATCTCTAGATGTCTTTGAAAACGTGGTGGTGAGCTGCCTTCTTGATCTGCCACAGTTCACTTACTATTAGAGAGGGAATTCCAGGATTATGATCTGAAGACAGTTCAGGAATGGTGATACAGTTCCAGATCAGAAGGGTGAATCACTTGGAGGGGAACTTGCAATTGATGGTGTTACCATGCATTTGCTGACTTTGTCTTTCCAGATGGTAGTTGGACATACCTGGGCAATTTGGCATCTCCCTGATAAGGTGGCACTGTTGTAACTGTCCATAAACAGCTTGGCTAGGGGCATGTCAAGATCTGGAGCACGAGTTTCTCAATACTATTGCCAGAACGCTTTCAGGAGCTCTTGGAATGTCTAGTACTTTAAGCCATTTCTTGATATTATTTGGAGGATGTCAGAGTGACAGAATCTGTGATGTTTGCGTCCTCCAGAGCAGATCGAGATGTATCATCCACTCGGCATGTCAGACTGAAGGTTATTCCAAATGTATAACCCTAATCATTTGTAGTGTTGGGCTCCCCCATCATTGAGGATGTTTATGAAACCACCTCTTCTAATGAGTCGTCTAATTATCTACACCATTCATGATGAGATATGGCAGGACTGCAGAGCTTGGATCTGGTCCATTGGTGTGGAATTGCTTCGCCCAGTCATGCTCGTGTTCTTTGGCACATGTATAGTCCTGTGTTGGAGTTTCAATGGGTTAATACCTTTGTTTTAAAAGATATGCCTAGTGCTGTTGCTGGCATGCCCTCCTGAATTCTTTATTGAATAAGGGTTAACTACTGGCTTGATGGTAATGGTAGAGTGGGGTGTACGCCGGGCCATGAGTTTGCAGATTGTGTTTGAGTACAATTCTGCTTCTGATGATGGCCCACAGCACCTCATGGGTGCCCAGTCTTGATAGATCTGTTTGAAGTTTATCCCATACACCATGGTGATTGTATACCACACAACTCAATGAAGGGTATCCTCAATGCGATACTGGATCTTCATCTCCCAAGGGACTGTGAGGTAGTTGCCCCTATTGAGACTGCCATGGACAGTTAGATCTGCAGCAGGCAAATCAGAGAGGATGATGTCAAGTATAGTTTTCTGTCTTGTTAGTTCCTTTACCACCTGTTGCCAACCCAGCCTAGCAACAACATCTTATAGGAATTGACCAGCTCAGTCAATAGTATTGCTGCTAACTATTAGAACAAAGAACAAAGAAAATTACAATACAGGAACAGGCCCTTCGGCCCTCCAAGCCTACACTGACATGCTGCCCGTCACAACTAAGACCCCCTACCCTCTCGGGGACCGTATCCCTCTATTTCCATCCTATTCATGTATTTGTCAAGATGCCCTTTAAAAGTCACTTTAGTATCTGCTTCCACTACCTCCCCCGGCAGCGACTTCCAGGCACCCACCGCCCTCTGTGTAAAAAAACTTGCCTCATACATCACCTTTAAACATTGTCCCTTGCACCTTAAACCCATGGCCCCGAGTAACTGACTCTTCCACCCTGGGAAAAAGCTTCTGACTGTCCAGTCTGTCCATGCCCTTTATAATCTTGTAGACCTCTATCAGGTTCCCCCCTCAACCTCTGTCGTTCCAGTGAGAACAACCCAAGTTTCTGCAACCTCTCCTCCTAGCTAATGCCCTCCATAATAGGCAACATCCTGGTAAATCTTTTCTGTACCCTCTCCAAAGCCACCACATCCTTCTGGTAGTGTGGTGACCAGAATTGGTGGTGATGGACATTGAAGTTCCCCACCCAGAATACATCCTGAGTCCTTGTCACCCTCAATGCTTCCTCCAAGTGGTGTTCAGTAGGGAGGAGCACCGATTCATTAGTTGATGGTGGGACGGTATGTGGTAATCAGCAGGTTTCCTTGCCTGTGTTTGACCTGATGCAATGGGATTTCCTGGAACTCGCCAGTGAAAACCCAATTGAGGGAGTTGAAGAGATAATGGGAAAAAAATTCCAAAAGTTATGCAACTTTTTGCCCAATTGGGTGAAAGATTTTTGGGTCACATCTTGTGACAGATTGGTAACTGTTCTATGAGATAGAGTAATGCTGAATTTTATAGACCATGGCTGAGGTTTGTAGAGTTATAGTAAGAAGAATGCAAGAATTAGCTTTATTGTTACATGTGCTCACCTGGGTACAGTGAAAAGTTTACAAGTCACCACTAATGGCACTACCTTAAGCACCAAGATACCCAGGTACAGATTTTGAAGTACAAATTTTCAGGGAAAAAAATTTAGAAATATGAAGAAATAAGGAGCCCAGCAATAAATTAGAAAAACTGAGAAATAAGAGTTCAGAATAACAGTCCTTCCAAACCAGAAGACTGTGCTGAGGCCGGGAGTCCGGGTCTGCGCCGAGTCTGGGTCCACACCGTGGCCCGGAGTCCGGGTCTGGGTCCGGGTCCGCGTCGAGGCTGGGAGTCCATACAGGTTTTCACCGTGGACATTGCCGATGCTGCCCGAGGATGGGAGGTAAAAAGAAACTGAAAAAGAAACAAAAATGGAGAGAAGAAACAAAGAAATTGATGTAGTGGATGAGCTCTGTCTCGGGAGTCCTACTCCACTGCCATCTTTCCAAAGAATCCCTACAGTGTGGAAACAGGCCTTCAGCCCAAAGAGTCCACACTGACCTTCAGAGAAACCCATTCCCCAAATCCACCTAATCTACCCATCCCTGAACACTATGAGCAATTTAGCATGGCCAATCCACTTAGCCTGCATATCTTTGGACTGTGGGAAGAAACTGGAGGAAACCCACGCAGACATGGGGAGAATGTGCAGACTCCACACAGACAGTTGCCCGAAGGGGAATTGAACCCAGGCCCTTGGCACTGTGAGGCAGCAATGCTAACCACTGAGCCACCGTATGGTGGAGATCTGGTAATCTGCTACTGAGGCTATTAAACTGCCAACTGGTTGAATTATATTGAAGTTGATAAAATGTTATTAAGGTTAGAGAAAGGGCTGCTGCAAGTGGCCGGCAGCTCCTCCCTCTGTTTCCTCAAGGATCTGCTGGAGACCTTTGCAGGATCTTGCAGTTGGCCATAACCAGATACACTGTACAGGAGATCACTGCCACCATGTATGCTGGGGCAGGCCTAAATGAACATTTTGCCAGTTAGAATGAGCTGGCATTTGGGTTTGTGGCATTGGTTCGCTTCCATAGATGGAAGATGTCATTAGTTGCAGAAAGATGGCAATGCAGGCATCCACCAGATCATCCAGAAATGTTCATTGACAGCAAGGGCTTTGACTTCATCAACGAATGACTGACGGATTGAAGGTTGATGAATCTCCTGCACCGGATGAGCTTCATCCCAGAGTGTTGAAGGAAATGGCTACAGAGATAGTGGATATACTGGTGGTTATCTCTCAATCTTCTGTAGATTCTGGAAAAATTCATGGAGAAATTACCAAATGTAACTCCCAGCTCAGCTAACATACCAACATCTACAACAAGGGATAATTGAAAAGTTAGACTCTGCTCAATTTTGCCATTATTTTCCATGTGGATTTATGAAAGGGAAATTGTGTTTAAGACAGGTCGGGGTTTTTTTAAGAATGCCATTGCAGCATAGGCAAGAAAAACAGGGGATATTGTGTATTAGGATTTTCAGAATGCTTTTGATAAGGTCCTTCACAGGTGGTCAGTGAACAAAATGAGAGGATATCAGATTTGGGGTAATGTACTAGTAAGGTTTGAGAATTTGTTAACAGACAAAAAGCAGAGACAAGCAATAAATATGTAATTCTCAGGATAGAGGTTGATTATTAGTGGGACACCTCAAGGCCACAGCTGTTCACAATCTATACAAATGATTTGGATCTGGGGACCAATTGTAATATTTCCACTATTGCTGATGGCACAAACTGAGAGGCAGTGAAAGTCTGAGAATGATGGAAAGAGAATTTGAACAGGCTAATTGAATGAGCAAGAAAATGGCAGATGAAATAATATTGTGAATAAGTGTGAAGTTATTCACTTTGGTGGAAAAAATTACTTAAATGAGAGGTTGGGAAGCGTTGGTGGCCAAAGGGACCTGGGTATCTTTGTTCATGGGTTATTAAAAGCTAGCAAAAAAGTGTAACAATTGGTATGGAAGGCAAATGGTGTATTAATCTTCATCACAAAGGAATTTGAGTACAGATGTAAAGATGTCTTGCAACTATTTCATTGAGCCTTGGTGAGACAGCATCTGGAGTATTGCGTACAGTTTTGTTATCCTTTTCAAAGAAAGGATATACTCATTGTTGATGGAATGCTATGGAAGTTCACCTGGGATGGTGAGTTTTTAAAATATTCATTTATGGGATATGGGATGGCATTTATTGCCAATCTCCATATGCCTCAGAATATTAGCTTTGAGTTGCATCATTAGACCATAAAATTTAGGAGCAGAGCAGGCCATACAGCCTTTCATCATAAGGCAATCCAGACATTCCAGGTATTATTCTAGTAAATCTTCTCTAAACTGCTTCCAATGCATTATCATCCTTCCATAAATACAGTGATCAGTACCATACACAGTACTCGAGATGTGGACTCACCAATGTGCTGCCAAACTGAAGTGTAACCTCCCTACACTATTCCCCTTACAGTAAACCATTACATTGTTAGCTTTCCTGATTACTGGCTATATCTGAATAATAAACTTCCTAGGACATCCACATGTCTCTGCATCTGAGGTCTGCAACCTTTCACCATTTTTTGCCATGTACTGACTATCCTTGACCGAGCAGGGCCACTTTGGAATGCCAGTATGCATCAGAGTGCTGAGCTTCCTGTTAAAAATGCACAGACACCAATGCTGGTTTTTCGGTGGATATTGGCTGAGCGGTGAATTTTTCTTGAAAGTATAGTATGTGTGGTCAGATGGGGCCAAAATCAGACTCGACATTGGGGTAGGGTACTTAAATAATGGGGTGAGTTTGGTAAGATATGGCAGGAAAACTCATAGAGTCATACAACACAGAAACAGATCATTCGGTTCAACCAGTCCGTGCTGACCATGATCCCAAACTAAACTAGTATCACCTTGTCTGCACTTGGCCCATATCCCTCCAAACATTTCTTATTCATGTATTTATCCAAATGTCTTTTAAACATTGTAACTGTACCCACATCTGCCAATTCCTCGAAGTTCATTCCACACCACAAACCACCCTCTGTGTGAAAAATTTGCTCCTTGTGTCTTTTGAAATCTTTCTCCTCTCGCCCTAAAAATATGACCCCTGGTCTTGAAAACCCCCATCCTAGGGAAAAGACACGTGCCATTCACCTTTCTCTATATCCCTCATGATTTTATAAACCTCTATACAGTCATCACTCAACCAAACTTGCTAGGCTTAATGGCAAATAACCCTCCAAAAGACTCAACGCAACTTGGGCGTATTCAGAAATACATATGATTCAGCCCCTAGTGTGTGCAGGAGTGATAGTCCGCAGAATGGGCACAGCTGTTGTGTTCTCCATAATGTTGTACAGAAATGAAGCTTGGAACTGCAGGAGGAGCAAGGTGCAAGAGTTGTTCAGAAGAGAAGGAGGATGGTGATGCACTGAATGCACCAATATTGCTGCCCTGGGTGGTCAAAATTAGATTCCACCAAAGCACCCCATCTAATAGCCACATGTACCACTGTGACCACCCCACCCCGACAACTGAATCCACTGTTACCCAACATGATGTAGCTTGCAAATAACTTTTGGAGTCATCCATCACTTGGCATTGAGTCTTACTCATTAATCACGAGTGAAGAGGTCATTTGCCAGGTAAGTAGGCAAGTGTTGCAAATAAAAATATTTAGGATTATCAAAAATGATGTGGTGTGCCTGTAGCAGAAGCACAAAATGCTGCTCTGCTCTGCCTCTTGTAAAACAGTGCAAGCTTCATTTGCTTCACAGGAACAGAACTAAAATTTGGTGTAAACCAGATTTTAATAAGAATGGGGGGGCATTGGATATCTCAGTGGCTGGAAGGTTAGTTTGCGATGCAGGCATGGATTCAATTCCCACATCGCTGAGGCATGGTTAACCTCAGGATAAATTCACCACCTAATTCTCTAATGAGACAGCAGCCTTATGGTCCTCTGGGACTATGGCAACAACTAATAGGAACAGGAGTAAGTCATTTCGCCTTTGACCCTAAATCCTGGATGCTGTGGATAGTCTCCTGCCCACTGTTGGCAGTAACCAGGATTGCCTGAAAAATTTAGAATCTGACATCATCAAGGAATATGCACCATCAATTAGAAAAATGTAGACGGCTGTGGGCTTGTGTTTCCATTTGTCTAAGCATTCATTATTAGTGTTTTATTTGCTGTGACTTTAACATTGCCAACTGTATTGATCCATGAGTAGTTTGATATCAGTTGTTGCAGTAAGACTGGTGCTCAACTGACGTCATTTTGGACTGCCTAGTTTGCAGTGCACATAAATTTGCTCATAATGCAGCAGTAATTTGCAGTCAGGAATCTCACATAGAGAACCCAACAGGGAGGTGAGATAGATAGAAATATCTCTTTGTAACAAAGGTCACTGACCTGAAATGTGACTTCAAATATTGGATCTAGTTTCATTAATGATGCTCTTCCTTGATGATTTGTGAGTGATGATTTGTGAGTGGGAACAGAGGTAATTTGCTGACTTTGGCAAACATATGTTAAACAACCCAGAGGATATTTACTTGTTTGCAAAGATAAGAGGTTGCCCGATAGAACTTTAACTCTGATTGCTAAACAGGAACTCAGCTTCCTCCCTCTCTATCCTTGATGCCACTCCCTTTGCCTACTGCTTCCTCTGCTATTCCCTCCCAGTGTTACTCAGGAGAATGCCAAGGACTGTGGGGTTGGGTTGGTGAAGAGAGCAGGGATTTCTGTACTTTTCAGTTACGCTTGTCAAAACAGTTGTGTAAACAACAAATATTGGCATTGGGTACAGGAAGTGTAAATAACACACTGCCCTATGTCATTGATCAGTGGACCTGAATCCAGTACATGTACAAAGTGCTTGAGAGCATGTTTGACCTTGCTGTAAAGATGCTTCTAGTGGTATAATTCTGCCAATACACATCTGGTTTTGATAAAACTGCTCTCAAATAAATGTCACTATGTAAATGCAAATTATTGTTCATACCTGGGCATTCAGGTAAAATAAAGAGAGATTGTATAATAAATTGTTTATGTCTTTCTTAGCTACAAAGAAAATGTGCTAAAGCTATCTCGAATTCAACATGACCAGCCAATGAGTCCAGTGGATAGAGCAGTGTTCTGGATTGAATTTGTAATGCGCCATGGAGGAGCTCAGCATTTGCGGCCTGCAGCACATTCCCTGTCCTGCTACCAGTACCATTGCCTGGATGTGATAGCATTTCTGTTTATTTGTTTAGCAATCATTGTATTTGTTCTCAAAAAAATGCTGCATGTTTTGCTGCTGAAAATGCATAGGTACAAGGGTAAGGAAAAACAAGACTGAACAATACTCTTTAATGCATAGGATGACAAACTTATAACACCATTTAATTACTTTGGAATTTATATTGCGCAGGGTTAAAATTACATGGTGTTCTAAATAAGTTTTTAGTTAAAACTAGTTAACAGGAAAACTCATATTATTGACAATTTCAACTTCCTACTGAATCATTCTTTGCACTCAATTGGTGCATCTCAAAATTTAAATTGTGCCTAAAGATCATTGATTTTCTGGAGATGAGGGTTTACTAGCAATTTATTACTGTCCTTGGAAAGATGCTTGTGATTCTTGTTACTGCAGTTTGTGTGATAGAGATATCGCTGTTAGGTAGGGAGTTTCAGGATTTTGACAGTGATGAAAAAGGAATCAAGATATTTACCCAAGTTAGAATGTTGTGCAGCAGTTTGAGGACAAACCAGTTTAAAAAATCTTTCCATTTATTAATTTGCACAGAGATATCTCTACACTAGAACAAAGAAGCTGGCAGGAACTCTGTAAGATATATGCATTGTGCTCAATGCTGTAATTGTTGATAACAAGAGAAATGTGCGATCATCACAGATCAAAATGTTGCACTGAATTGACCAGAATAGGGCTTCCAATTATTCCCTCATCAGAAACTCCCATCCAAGTATTATGGTTAGTTCACGGCTGTCACCACAGCTGCTCCAACCTAGGCCTGGTTTCCACAGCCAAAATAACTAACAGTGTGCTCTGGATACAGGTTTTCCTGACTTAATGGTTTAATTTGAGACAGGTTAATTCTGAAGGCCACAACATTATCTTTCTGCAGCACTGAGCTAAGAGTCTGAATTGTAGGAACTGGGCAAGAGGCGAGAAGGAACTAGCCATAGTATTTGACAGATTTTCATCACTTCCATTATGAGTACTCAACTGCACTGAGCACACATACACAACACCCATTCTCACAAAAACATGCACATGAATACACTCTCTTGCATACACGCGCACACACACACTCATCCGCACTCTCAAACGCAAAAAAATTGAAAACACACACATTCTCTCTCACACACACACCCCGCCCAATTAATTGGTTTGCCAAATGATTTATTGTTGCCAAAATTCACTTCCCATCTCCTCTACAAGATAAACACAAAAATTTAATAAAGTATTCTGCCGTACAGTGTAGTGAAAAGGAATTTAACATACTCGGCCAGTTTAAAACGTTTTGGTAGAAATCCTCTTTATAGCAGCTCTGATGAAGAGTCATCTAGACTTGAACCGTTAGCTTGCTTTCTCTCCGTGAGTGCTGGCTGACCCGCTGTGATATCCAGCATTTTTTGTTTTCGGTTCAGATTCCAGCAACTGCAGTAATTTGCTCCTCTCAGACCTTTTACATTGACTTGGCAGACATCTCATCGGAAAGTCAACACGTCTGCCAGTGTGGCAGTCCCTCAGTACTGCACTAAAATTTCAGCCTTGTGTCAGTAATGTGGCTTGAAATCATAAACCTGGACTTTGGACAAGAGTTAGTAGGAACTGCAGATGCTGGAGAATCCGAGACAACAACCCTATGATGCTGCTTGGCCTGCTGTGTTCATCCAGCCCTGCACCTTGTTGTTTTGGACAAGAGTGCCATCTTTGTGCCAGCGTTGCAGCAAAACTTGCAAAGCATGGGTTAAATGAGTGGTGGGTTATCTCTGGGTGGTCATTGGTTTTCTTCACTCATTGGGCCATGTTTACTAGTATCAATCTCCCTTGGGTATTGTATCTTCAATCATTTTACTGATGGAATGCTCCTGTATTTGGATGTAACATTTTTTAATATCAGAATAAATAGGCACTTTATAAAATCCTACTGGCACAACTTTGAAACTTTTGGTTTCAAGCAGGAAGTAGCCTTTAAAATGGTGTTACTGCAAAACATGCCGAATTCTGAAACAAATTTAAGGAGTACTTGAGACTGGGCTTTGCTACTGTATCACTGTGAGGCAGCAGAATTAATTTAGCTGTAATTCTAAAATAAGGGAACTGAGGAAATTATTACATTTAAATCCTAATTAGACCAAACCCAAGCTATGGGCATTATGGAACTTTTTATCTTATTTTTGAAGAAGTCCTTCAAATCTGAGGAAGGGCTGATTGAGAGCTTGTCTTCTGCTATCAGGTGGGACAACCACTCCCCAGCCCCATCCTCACATGAAGGTAAATATAGGGTTTTGCATTACAGATTATTTTAAAAATAATTAATAAAATGAAAGATATTTTCAGAATCTGTTTTCGTTTTACTTTTTCTTTTTCTTCATGTTTCACTCATTTAAGCAAGAGCTGTAGCAGAATGAAAATGGTAACTGTTTTATGAGTAGTTATAAATACACCTTGCCCACTTATGATGGTATCAGAACCATACAGAGAGTAAAATCTTTGGACGGACTCTTTGACAGTTTTGAGTGACATGGGATATGATGAAATGTGTGGCAGAATTGGGTGACAAATGTGATGAGGCCTGGGAGGAACTCACATTACCTTTTTATGCTTTTCACAAGCAATGTGGTGAGATTCTCACTGGACAGTGGCAAGTTACCAATTGACAATGATTATTGTTTGTAAATGCCTCGTTAACGGCTCAACTTACCTCAGCCTCCTATCTTACCAAATTCATCAAACAAGTTTGACATCGTGGAAACACGACAAGGAAAGTCGGCGGATTTAGCTCACGATTTGCTCTGAATGACATGTCACCTACAACCAAAACGGCAGCCCAGTGCAAGATCCAACAGCACCAGCTGCATGCATGCTTGCTCCATGGACTTTGGCATGCAACGTTGGAAAGCCCTCATAGCTATCCTGGAATCCCTGTGATACACTGGCAGGGTGTTCTGGGAACACTGACTTGCATTGTAAGATGCACTAGCAACTAATATGGAAGGGCTGTAATAGGTATACTTTGTGCACAGACACAGGACCAAATCTCTTGGACTGGAGTAGGCTGTGTCTCGGGATGCTCACTTGCTCCCTCAATGCTCACTCACTTGATACCTTTATGCTTACAAAATCCCTGCCTTGCACATAACCAGGCAGTTTGCTTTGCTGCTCAGCAGTATACAGTGGGGGGAACGCATGTCCTGCTGTAAGGCAGTTTGCTATATCAATCTCACACTGGCACCAAGATGCTAGCAGCTACCATGTCAAATGCAATGAGTGTGTAGCAAACAGGCAGCTATGTATTCAGCTCTTAGGTGAGTAGACCTCTCTGAAGTCCATGGCGGGACCCATCCACCAAGGTTCCCTACATAGTAAGTCAAGGGCAGCTCCAAACCAGTCCAGGGGATCAGCCAAGGTCAGGTATCTGTTCTCAGCTGGGGGTCCATGCCACTGCATTCTGGGGAGTGGGTCATGGTCAGTCTATGGGCTGCATTGTCGCCAGTTTGAGAGGTAGGGCTAACTTCATCGAAGAGATGTACGTGCAACAGTCAGAACTGCGGGCATGTGTTGCCCAGGGCTGTCCAGTCATGTTGGTTAAGGGTGTACTCCATGGTTAGTATGTCCATCCATAGGTATGGGGAGGGGGCATGGGGTCAAAGGGCAAGTACAGCCATGGTACGAGTCTCAGCAGGTTACTCACAGGCACTGGAGCCTTCGGGCTGTGTGGAAAGGCACAGTACAATTGTAAAGAGGGGCAAGATTTACATGGGGTGGGGGGAGGACACAATAAAGCATGGCTGAGAAAGGTGCAATGGGTGGGGTGTGGGTAGGTGTCAACTGTTAGGATCACCCTGGCTTAAAGGAGGGAAAATGTATGACTGCACCAGGCATGGTTACCTCATATGCCAGTGGCTGGGTGGGAAAGGCACAGGCACATGGGGTCGAGGGGAATTTGCGAAGTGTGAAGCCTGTGGGATCTGTGGGATTGGCTACAAGGGAAGGGATGTGGATATTTGGGGACTCTCTGCTGCATTTAGGCTGAGGCCAGAAGCTGCTGGTGGAGGAATACTCACTGTCATCTTTGATCCTGATGCAAATCAAAAACTGCACAGTGGGGAAGGAAACCGAAACGGCTGTGACTGCACTCGGAGTACGTTGGGTAACTGACTATGAAGGAGGGGACTGCAGCAAACACTGATCTTTCCCAGAGCATTTAAAGGGAAAGAATATGAGTCACACACCCAGGAATGTACAGCACACAGGTTGCCTGCTTCTTGGTCATCTGGACAGTTATAACTTGCTCTATGCATCGCACCTACCTGGCATAGCCGACAACTCATTGACAACTACACCCTTGCACATAGAGAGTGCCAAACATTAGAGATGTTGAATCAAGAGAGCTAAAGTTGTCACTGTGACCCAATACCACTGTATCCCTGCTTCCATTAGGTGCAGTAGGCTCTCAGTGCAGACCTCCATCCATGGAACTTATCTGTGGCCATAAAGTGCTGGTGGACTGTGTGTAAATTCATCTAGTGCCTATACAGAGAGACATAAACTGAGAGTGACATATAAGCAATTGTCACCCATGTCACCAATGTGCCCACAATGCATTTTCTTCTTTCTCTGTCTCCCAGTGCGTCTCTGTGAACTCCCCAGTTCTGCAGCTGGAGTGGTGTCTGCTGTCCATGAGGGTTTAGTTAGATGACCCTCCTTACTTTGAACATGTAGAGGTTGGGAGGGTGGGGCGGCTGGCTACCTCTGCAGTACCCTGAATAAAAAGTGCAGGGAGACCTGTCTGTGTGGTTCTACCTGTGGCTGGTTGCCTTCTGACATCAGTCTTTCCTTTTGTACTGAGGAGGTATCAGTACCAGAGCCAAGGATCCCTTGTTTTCATGCCTTTGGTCCTACGAACCAATTGCTGTGACAATGGAGTTCAGCAGCTCCTGTGTGTGCTCAGAGTGTCTCCCCATGGCAGCTGCCAACCTGTTTGCAGACAGACTGTCACAGAATTTGCACCCGTTACATCCCGGATGCCTGTGTGTCACTGCCGCTCTGTCCGTGCATTGCAATGAAGTCTCTGATTGCTGGCATTACAGGGTCCTTCCTGCCTTTGACTGAGCAGATGCCTGTTCTCTGGCAGTCCTCCAAATGTCAGCTTCCTGGGACATTTCTTCCTCCACTAGTCATGGAGCTGTTGTAATGAGGTTCTCACCAGATTGTCTTCCCAGACTCATTATTCCAAACATTCCCATAGAGGTGTCAGTGTTCTGAGTGGGTAGGAGGGTGAAGGAGGCATCCTTGCCAATGCTTCATCTGAGGCCTCTGCACTCTCATCATCAGAGATCTAGGAAGATGCTTCTGGGGAAGCTGGGTGTTTTGTTTTTGCAAAGGTCATAGAGAGGCTGGAGGTACCTACAAGAGAGAGGCAGGGTGGGGGGCGCTCAACCAGTGGTTAGAAGTGGTGTGCAATGAATGACAGTGACAGGAGTGGTTAATGCAAGAGTGGCAGTGGAATGAAGAAAGTTACTTATTCATTTAGTGGTATATGGATATTTAAGCTTCCCTGAAGGAGCAATTGCAGTCTTCTCCTGTGAGAGCAAGAATTCTCTGAGATCCAGAAATTGGACATACTTCCATCCATACAAGCTCACTCAGCTCTGTTATGGGCAGGCTCTTCTCCTGTAATGACAGAAAGGCTGGGAATGAATGAAATAACTCTGGGTGGCACAACTGTTGGTGCTGTTGCATGTGGGAGAAAGATGGTGATGTGGTCTAAGGGACTGAGGTGGCATGTCAAGCATCCAGGATTAGTGGCGTGGGAGGTTGGTGGGGAACGAGAATGAGTGAG